TTTAAATATATCGGAGCACGCTCATTTGCGTGTGTGCATGCGTGCGTTTCTGAGGGTGGGCTTGATTGCATATATCTTGATTTCTGCATTTTCTGAGCCGAGGGACGTTCTGGAATAGCAGTGCAGATTCTCATTATAAGCCCTACATCTCCCATGATACCAAAGCTTTCTGTTTATTGAATGGTAATGCGGTCGAGGATGCAAATGTATTCTGCACCATGCATTTTGTTCAAGCAATCACACTTAATAAGCCCCTAGCATAGTGCAGCCAGGATGCATTAATATTTTTGATTGAGGCTCGATGAATTGAAACAAACTTTAAAACAGAGGATGTGTTCACACCAGGCGCCACAATGGAAGACTTGCAGAAGACGGAACGTTTAACCTTCTGTACTGAAATAGCGATAGATGAGAGTTGGTTCTAGATTAAGAATGTCACCGTTATCTCTCCCAAAAACCACTGGGTGACAAACTAGTTTCCACTATAACTGTTTCGACATAGCTGACTGTAAAAATGGACAATTTTTCTCAAAAGGCTTCATGCTAACACGCTTAATTTCAATCTGTTCCATGCACGGACATATTTTTCACGTTCGAAGTGTGGGGGGGCGGGGGACATGGGGGAGGTGTATCTTTACAGTATGTTCTGGGAAACAGGCTTCAACACAAACAGTTGTTTTCTGCTTGGTCCTAAAGCTCAACCCGTGTCAATTTAATATAGAGTAATACTGTTTTTGGATGGTAAAAAGTGCAGAGGTCAAAACTTGACTTTGGAAAAAGTGGGGGGGACATGTCCCCCCCACCCCACCCCAAAATTGCATCCATGGTTTCATGTTCATTTATTTTCAGCTGGATTTAATCACCATTTCCAGTTTTCTCCAGTGCTGTTTGCTACTCTCAGGAAAAATAAATATCATCTAATATAAAGGGAATGGAAGTTTTTGAATAACATTTACATTTGCTTTTGTGATCTTTAGGAGGCAGATCTGAGATGGAAGCAGCTTACTTTCATTCCAATAAGTTTGCTTTAAAATGTGACTGAAATATGAAGTAACATTAAATAGTTTTTTAAACGTGAAGCTAGAGCTTTAACGTTGATCTCAGTGATTGTTGTTAGAACCCTGACCAGTTATATATCTGACACCACTACCCAGCTGGCCAAAAACCACACTTGATTGTTTGGCGGAGCGGTTAGGTGTCCTACTTTACCTGCTTTACGACTGCTAGCTGTTATGCTAGCAGTTAGCATTTTCAGTTTTCCTATCGTCAATCAAAAGCACAAGAAGAAATAGAAAAGTCAGCTTAGTAAAGTACTAAAACCAGAGCGAACATCTAGTATGAGGGAGCCAAAGGAGACTACAAAGTCACTGTCTGATGGTGACCTGGCTTTGTTGCTGCTGGACTTGTACGTAATAATATTTTCTGTCCAACAGTGCGGATCTTTTTCTTGTGAGGTTTATTTTAGTAGGTGGCTCATGTTAGAGTTGGCTCGTTGTTACTGCTTGCTACAGCCGGTGTCGGTGCAGGATCGGCTCGGGGTCCTTCGACTGCCGATGACGTCAAAGTAGTTGATTGGCTGAACGTGAAGCTTCCGGAAGTTACGGTATCACGTTATGATTTTGATTGGTCAGAACAAATTTGCGTTCGTAGTCTTAGCGGTTGTAGTCCTGTAGTCCAAAAATCAACAATTTTTGGAGATAATATGTTCGAATTTCTAAAGGAAATGTAAAATATAAGCAAATGATAAACGGTGACCCTCAAAAGCTCTTGATGTTGATGAAATGGGGCCAAATAAAATATAAGAACTTTATTGAAAGACACAAAGCAATATTTTGAGTCAGATAATGTATTTAGATAACAACTAAGGAAATATACAGACGAACTCCACATTAATACAAACAGATGTGGCTTCACTTATAAGAACTGTTCTATTGTTTGTCAGTCCAATGTTGGTTTTATGCAGTTTCACATTCTTTACCAAACAAAGATAATACGGTGTTTTATTAACAAATTACAATTATAAAGAAAACATTTAGGTGTTAACAAACAAGAATTTATTAACACAACTGCTGATGTCTTTCCAAAACGTGTGTGTGAAAGCCGAGTAGATTTGCAGTCATGCGACGTCATCGGCAGTCGAAGGACCCCGAGCAGATCCTGTACCGACACCGGCTGCTGTTATTCCACTTTCAACCAGAAGGGAGGAGGAGCCGGAAACTGCTCTATTCCTCCAAAGCACATCTCCATTATGGGTCCAGTATACCAGTGATTCTCAATCATTTTCTGCATTGTAGCTTTAATTCAGGCCAAGAAATTTCTGCCCATGTAAATCAGACAGTAGCTGTGTCCAAACGTATGACTGGTTCTTTATGTTGGACTTCCATAATTAGCTTGTGTTTGAGTGGAAAAATGCCACTTAATTATTAGCAATCATTTCTAAAGTTTAGCAACAATTTTCACAAACCGAATCTGGAGGAAACGGCTGTTAACGAGTCATTTTTCTGTCTCTCTGTTGGAGTAAAGCCAAAATATGTGCAATCCAACGTCTTATATCATGTAATCAATTTCTAGATGGTTTATTTATTTTTTAGGCCAAAAAAACATTTTAGTGAATAAAGCTTACAACTAATAATTGTTAAATAAGTTCATCGATGTTCTACTTTTTATGAGTCGTTCTTATTAAACCAAAGGTTTATTTGCATTTAACAAAAGTATTTTATTGGTCTGTGAAATCAATGAAAAGTCATTGAATTTGGAATTGTTAAACAAAATAAAAACAGCTTTTGTTCTCATTGTTTTTATTTCTTTGCTTAGATGAACCATTTTTTCGTGCTTCACCTTAATTATCCTAACTGAAAACTGGCCGTGTGTGTGTGTGTGTGTGTGTGTGTGTGTGTGTGTGTGTGTGTGTGTGTGTGTGTGTGTGTGTGTGTGTGTGTGTGTGTGTGTGTGTGTGTGTGTGTGTGTGTGTGTGTGGACAAATCAACTTTGTCCCGTTAAGGCTTCAACATCCACTCTACAAAAGTAAACGTGTGTCCATTTCTTTTCCACTTGGATAATTAGACTAATTTACTTAAAATTAAAACATTTTTTTTATTTCACAGCACTTCTGTTTGACATCAGTTTGTGTTTTCATAGGGGATTGGGACTAAAAATGGTTTATTTATTTCAAAAGATGATAAAAATGTCCTTTTCCAACTGAATTTATCAGAAAACTGGCGAGATAATCACTTTTATTATAATAGTCTGCATCTATTCAGACCTTAGCATTAGCACATCTGTAAAAACACCTGATGTTTGAAGTGAAATTCTGCTTAAATCAGAAGAATGCCTCATTAATGTTAAAAACACAACGTTTGTGCTTCAAATGCACAAAAGCAAAATGAAGATGGTTTAAACTCCACAAATAAGAAGTGTGGAAAATCCATCAGCACCTTTCTGGACTCAGTTAGATTGCATTGTGTGGTCACCGGGGCCGAGGCCGATAAAGCGACTGTCGATCAATAACCATTTCTTATCCTCACCCTTCATCTTCCCTCCATCGAGAGGCCTAAAGCTCTTTTCACAAGTGATTTTACTGATAACCACCTGTTCGAGCCCACGCTGGTAAAATCCTTTCCCCCCGTCACCGTCCACCAGCATTAGTGCAAACCAGCCCTGACTGTACAGTCTGCAAGCCCGCCGCTCAAACAGACGGAGGCACGAGGACTCTTATTTATTCTACTCGTTTAGTTTTTTTTTTTTTGCTCCTTTCTTGCCACGGTTCTCATGTGCATCTGTTTGTAGTTCAGAGGCTTTGCAGGGCTTTTGTTCTTGGCGTGCACCATGTATGAAGGGGATGTGAGAATGCAAATGTGCCTGAGCTTAGCAGACAACAGTGTTTACATGGAAGGATCAGAGGAAAGCAGAGCAAACGTGTCACCTTTGTTTGGAGTGAGGGAACTGAGTGGCAGGAAGCAGCAAATAAATCATGCTTAGAACGAAGAGGAGGATGTTGCTGTTCATCTCCTCCTCGCTTGGATGTCGGCTCCTCCTACGTTTCGTCTGAAAACTTGAAAACAGACTAATTAGTCTGACAGAAAGATTTAAACTCAGACAGGAGAGGAAGGCCATGAGGGATTCTTCTGTTCTGGGTTTTATTTGCTTAACAAGCTCTGCATTCATCATCACAATTAAAACTCGAAGTGTTGTTTCAGGAAAAAGCCTCTTTAAAGCCACACTCAGCCGTCAGCTCACAGCGAACATCAGTAACTTTTATTCTTCTACCAAAGCTGCCGTCTGAGTTTAGCATTGAAATAATGTGAGTAAATAAGTATCGTGTTTGCTGGTGAAGGTTCTCAGTCATCCAGGTTATGGTAATCCAAAGGGATTAGAATGAAAGCAACTGCACTGGGGGTGGGTGGGAGGGGGGCACTGGTGCACCATTTCCAGGAACTAGACATGAGCCACATTTCCGAGATTCAGACGGCAGGTTTTAGTCTTATTTCCTGATATTTGGACATCCCGTCGTCAGATTGGATAACAGCAACGCGACTCTACCAATGACTAGCAACGGTTATCTTCTGCTAGCTGAAGCGTTCTGTTTTGATTCCTGGACGCTAAACCAACAACAGCCTTCCCCGTCATCAAGATGGGTGAGTGCATGAAAGTGAAGTGACAGTGTGATGTAAATCTGTCGGGATTTTCTAATCCTAGAGTTTCACCGTCTATTTTCTATCAGAAGCTAACGCAGGAGATAGGTGTAGGAGACTATTTTCATGTTCAGCCTGCATGAAACACTCACAGCGACCCGTTAGAATCAGAAAGCAGATTTAAAAAATGTTTACACCTTTAATTAATACCGGCGGTCGAACAATGTAGTAATAACTAATACACACATTTTATTGTTGTAACCGGATTACAGGATACAATAAGATAATTAAAAGAAAAAATAAACAAATGGGCCAATAATTAGGTTCGGGGAGAATTGGAGGTTGTTTAAGAATGACTGGAGTCACGGGTATAGCATGAAACGGTTTATATACTAAATTTTAATAATAATGGGAGATATAACACATAAAGATAACACATAAAAACAGATGAAAACAATCGACAATAGTAAAATGGTCGGTATGAGATTTGATCATATGAGTCACAAGTCAGCCGGCGTCAAGTCAAATCCCCACGCTTGGGGTGAAAGTCAGTCCGGTGGTGCGATTTTTTCCTACCACACCGTTGAGATTGTTCACAGAAGAGAGCAGTCTGCTCTTCAGTTACTTGAGATGTCCTGGTTCGTTCAGTGGTTAAGGCTCGCCATCTCCCTCGTCAGGAAGAAATCCAGTTCTCGTTCCAAGTGAGTGATCATAGGAGTCGGGATCAAACCCAAGGAAAAAAAAAAACCCAGCCTGTAAACAACAGGACTGTTAGCGAGTTGGCATCGACCCTTCTCGTCACATCACAGCATAAAGTCTTACAGACTTAAACAAATGCTTCACTCTATTGGCATAGCCAATCATGTTTGGGTTCACAGTTCAACTAACATAACATCAATTTGATTGTCTATTAAAATAATTCTCAGTAGCTCTGGAAATATAATTACATATGACAACAATTGTTCAGCTCAATAGGCTCAGTTAGATTCTATTACTCTACACTATTCAACAAGAAATACATTCATGACAACAAGGATACATTTAGTTGTGTTTCTATACAGCATTGTGACACCTTGTATATCTGTAACACAATAAATAAATAAATAAATAAATAAATAAATAAATAAATAAATAAATAAATAAATAAATAAAATGTTCTATAACAAAATTCAACAAAATATAAATTCTGGTCCTTTGGTCCACCTTTGTAAAATAATTCCTCCCTAATCAGTTAGCTTTTATTTATTTTTATTTATCTATTTTTTTATTATTAAATGTTTGGTTAAGGGACGCATTGCTAATTCTATGGCGTTAGCTATAACGCCCCTGAGGACCTTGTACATCTAGGCCGTACCACCATTAACTGGCGGTTTGAGCCGTTAACTCCTGGGAATCCCATATGCCCTACCGCCGTTAACTGGCGGTTTGAGCCGTTAACTCCTATATGCCCTACCACCGTTAACTGGTAGTTTGAGATGTTAACTCCTGGGATCTAACGTCTAGCAGCCCACTGCTGTCACCTCGGTTGCTGTAATTAGCTTTTTGAATTTAATAATTTACTGAATTTAATCTCATTCACTCACCAACGCGCTCCAACGGTTCCCTCCTACAGAGGATTGGTTCACTCTGTCGTCTCCACACAAATCTATAAGAATGGAATTAATTTGATAAGCTATTTAAGTTTCCTTTTTTTTTTTAAGTTGCATCGTTAGCTTTTTCTCTTCTTTTTTCTTTACTCACCGCGTTGGTTCCAAGTTCCTAGCTCTTATTAGAAGGAGTCAAGTCCGCCTCTCCCTCTATCTATGCGGCACCCAAATCAGGGTTCTTCACGGCCTCGACCGTTGTTTTTTTTCTCTCTCTCTCTCTCTCTAACCGCTCAGTCTTTGCTTTCTGTATCTGCGTGCTGCACAGCCGTTTGTCTCTCCTCTCGCTCAGCTGCGTCGCACGGTTTTATTTCGCGGAGGCGGGACTTATTTCTCTCAGCCAATGAAATTTCAGATTCCCACCTGGACCAATAGTATACAGCTTTCCTCTTCTGTTTCTGTTAGTGATGTTCAAGATTCTTGTTTTAACCGATGTTTAATATTAAACTCGTTATTTTAGTTATTCACCCTTCCAATAATTCATTATGAAATTATCTATTAGTTAATTAGATATCTATTAATTAGTATTGTTAATTTCCTTAATTTATATTTTATATTTTATCTAAATTGAGGATGGATCATATTAGTAAGCCAATTAGTTAATACCTCATTAAGGTTCTAGCTTCTGGGTTACATCGTCATTGATTCAGAATGAAAAAAACCGATAGAATAAGTATTTTCAACTGCACTTTTATTTTGAAAACTGCGTCATTTAGAAGTAACGCTGGTCCATCACATCAGCCTCGCCTCTGTCAGCGCGCCCCAGGGCAGCTGTGGCTACATCGTAGCTCATCCCCACCAGTGTGTGAATGTGTGAATGACTGATTGTGTTGTAAAGCACCTTGGGGGGCTCCAGGATTCTAGAAGGCGCTATATCAAATACAGGCTTCTACCATTTACCATAACTGTTCCGTGCCTCCCTGTTAGCTCTTGATTTCCAGCTTCTGGATCCATATTTGGCATGGGGGTGTGTGTTCCCATCTGGCCGTGTTTGTCCCGCAGCCTTGGTAAAAATGCTAGAACCCACCACATTTTTATTCATATCTGGATTATTTGCTTAGCTGGAAACCAGCCTGGGTTCATCCTTATTTCCCAGGGCACCGTCATACACGATCATTTATCTTCCTCTGTGATGAGAAACAAAATTGTAAAAGAAAGTGAGGATAAATGTTTTAACAGGCGAATCCCCCGGCGAGACATGTTTGATAATACTTCATGTTTGACATTTAGGACGCGGACGAGACCTGCTGTGAGAAGGTCTGCGCTCAGATGGCGTATTAATCTACTCCTCAGCTGAGGAGAACCTCCCCCACAAAGCGCCGGCACACCAGTGGCCTCTGAAATGGGAATTGGTTGGGATGCGTGGAACGGCAGCAGGTGTGTTACATGGAAGCCAGGAGCTAGGAGGTGGACGGCTCATGCGTTAGATCACCAAAACCCAAAGCTCGTCAGAATAAATGCACCTGCTTATGGCTTGACGTTAAGAGATGTAATTTAATCCTACGGCAGTTTTAACCTCTAATACCTGACGCTGATTGGCCGTTAATTGGTGATGGGTAGACAATCCTTCAGCGCTGCCTCGGACATCCCAGGTGCATGCTAAAACTTTGATGCTTGCCTATAAAATAACCTCTGCCTGTGGATTTTGTGCACCGTGGAGCCTTAATAAAAATCCAATCTCGACTTTTGAGAAGAATCTGTCACAACAGAATTGAGTTCAGTTCCCAGAACCTGCCGTGCCTTATGCTTTACTGCCTTTAATGAGAACGGTATGGCACCTGCAAAAATTCATGGACGAAAACGTGCAGGTGTCGGCATGTCCGACCCTGGTTTTAGACGCTTGGCGGAGAAGTGGAGCCAGCCTGACTGTGTTGTTTAAAAGACAATAACTGAAGTGAAATAACAAATGATTTGGGTTTATTTAGCACCCCCCAGGGCCCTTTACACACACATCCAGTAGTCACAGCTGCCCTTGGGCACCGGCCCCTCTGACCCTAGATGGGTTAAGTCTCTTGCACAAGGATACAACTGAAAAAGACCGAGCGGGATTCAATCCAGCAACCCCCTGGTTACTAAACAGGAACTTAACAAATCTGCCATATTTGTCCATGGAGCGTGCATTTTCCTATCGTCCACAGTTTACTGCAACACGTCAAGCAACTTCCTGCAAATGTGTGTGAACCATCCCAGTGATCCCACATGGACTTGAACTTGTGGAGAGAAAACCTTCAGGATTTAGATTATTTCTCATTAATATTTATGCAAATGTCTTGCCTCAACTCATCCTTTGCCTCTGCTATTGGCCTTTATTTGTATAGCACCCTCTTGGGGTATCTACCCCCCCACCCCCCCGGCGCTTCACAACACAGTCATTCACACATTCACACGTTGGTGAATAAATATTAACTGGTGGTGATGAGCTATGATGTAGCCACAGGTGCTCTGGGGCGCACTGACAGAGGCGAGGCTGCCGAGCACTGGCGTCGGGGGGGTGGGAGGGGGTAAGTGTCTTGCCCAAAGACACAAAAGCAGCATCCTCAGGTCAGAGCCGGGATAAAACCAGTATCCAGTATCGGTACCGATACTGGAATCATGGGTGCATCCCTATGCATAAAATAATAAAGAAGACATAACTTGGTGTTCAATGAGTCATCATGAACAAGCAAATAATAAAGTGTTTTATTGAAAACTCCTCTAAATCCACACATAACTACTAGATGAATGTTCACATCGTCGTCGTCTTCCTCCGCTTATCCGGGTCCAGGTCGTGGGGGCAGCATCCCAACTAGGGAGCTCCAGGCCGTCCTCTCCCCGGCCACCTCCACCAGCTCCTCTGGCAGGACCCCAAGGCGTTCCCGGACCAGATTGGAGATGTAACCTCTCCAACGTGTCCTGGGTCGACCCGGGGGCCTCCTGCCGGCAGGACATGCCCGAAACACCTCCCCAGGGAGGCGTCCAGGAGGCATCCTGACCAGATGCCCAAACCACCTCAACTGACTCCTTTCGATCCGGAGGAGCAGCGGTTCTACTCCGAGTCCCTCCCGAATGTCCGAGCTCCTCACTCGATGTCTAAGGCTGAGCCCGGCCACCCTACGGAGGAAACTCATTTCGGCCGCTTGTATCCGCGATCTCATTCTTTCGGTCATTACCCAAAGCTCATGACCATAGGTGAGGATTGGGACGTAGATTGACCGGTAAATCGAGAGCCTGGCTTTCTGGCTCAGCTCCCTCTTCACCACGACAGATCGGCTCAGCGTCCGCATCACTGCAGACGCCGAACCAATCCACCTGTCGATCTCCCGATCCCTCCTACCCTCACTCGTGAACAAGACCCCGCAATACTTAAACTCCTCCACTTGAGGTAGGACCTCTCTCCCGACCCGGAGTTGGCAAGCCACCCTTTTCCGGTCGAGAACCATGGTCATAAATGTTCACGTCACTCACCTAATGCTGCAAAGGCGTAATAAATTTAGATAGTTAGAAAATTACACCAGAACCAACTTATTAAATCTGTCAGATTTGCTGATGTGCGTTTCAGCCTCCGCTTGTTTCATAATTGCATGACTTCAAGTGCGATGTTTGCACGGTGATGAATTTGTTTCCTACTTAGAGTTAGCTGATTTTAACAAAACATCTTTGTAACGCCTGCAGCACACTTTACAGTCTGCAAATCCAGCACAGTTCTAGCTAAATAAGGAAACCTCCACTGAAAGGCTTTATACTCATCAAAGGTTAGAGAAAGCAAAAATAACACATAAGGACTCTGCTGTCAACACCCGTGATCAGTTCATGACAACTACTGTTCATTTGCAAGCGTGTCTCCTGGATAGGGAGCTGACTGCTTCCTTTGGAGTTGACAGCTTTAGGGGGAAAAGAGGTTTTATGGCGCTGTGTGAGAAGGTGGCGCGCTGCAGGCTGTAGAGCCGTGAGATGACAGCGTCAGAGTAATAAGTGGGCCAAGCAATTAGCAGCTGTAGGGAGAAGAGACGAGCCAGTGAAGCTCAGAGGCCTAAATCATGAGTGTGTGTGAAGATTATCAGGATCGAGCGTTACTTTACTTTTTCTGATCCTGTCAGGAGAAAAGACCAGAAAGAACCCACCGCAACAGTCAACGGTTCCACAAAGGTGAGATGGAAACCTCTGACACAGAACCTGCCACGTTCTCGTCCCACTGAGTCCGGGCCAACGGGGTCACGGTCCGTGGATCCTCAGGTTGGATCGTCTGGCGCTGTCGGTCTCGTTTTGTTTTCTGTTTCGGTTGAACGTTCTTCCTAATCGCTTTTTGTACAAACTTTCTTTTGTTCAGCAAAATTCCCTTTTCGTTTTTTCCTTTTGATCTCGTAACAAACTTGACTCAAGCCAGTGATTTCCACAGCTGGTTTTACAGTTTTTGGTCATTTCCTTCCTGTTTTGGGATCTTACAGCATGATTAGCTTTATTTTTTTGTTTATCATATCTAACTCATTCAAATGTTGTCCAAGGGTGTCACAAAGTAAGATTTGTATTTGATAATTGGTTTCTTTGTTGCAAGGATTTTGGTAAATGAATCTTATATTTTATGAAAAGTCACATAATTTGTTTTAAAACAGTGAGGCACAGTTTAAAACATTTAAAGTAACTTACTTAAAATGCTTAAATGTGACCATCTGACCTTGTTCTATGATATAAAATTTCCATCCATTTTCTGAACCCGCTTTGTCCACACAGGGTCGCGGGGGTGGGGGGGTGCCTGTCTCCAGCAGTCAATGGGCAATCAGGCAGGGTACACCCTGGACAGAGAGCCAGTCCATCGTAGGGCAACACAGAGACACACAGGACAAAACATCACACACACACCTAAGGACAATTTAGACAGACCAATCAACCTAACAGTCATGTTTTTGGACTGTGGGAGGAAGCCGGAGAACCCGGAGAGAACCCACGCATGCACAGGGAGAACATGCAAGCTCCATGTAGAAAGATCCCAGGCCGGGAAGCGAACCCAGGACTTTCTTGCTACAAGGCAACAGCGCTAACCACTGCGCAGCCAATATAAAATTTCATAATTTATATTTCCTCCAAAGTAGCCTGGCCTGCCAGACTCCTCCTCTGTTTAATCCTGCACAGAGAAAGGGTCTGGGAACTCTCCTATTCAAGTAACCCCACCCCCTGAGAATTCTACCCAAGCCAATCAGAGCTGAGTAGCGTATGTCACACACATCGACATATAAATATTGGACAATGGGTTTCCATAGGCTCCAATAACACGTTTTTGAGGCCAAATGGGAGGTGGCCACCACCACCATTTTGACCGTGTCACAGGTTCCGTCAAGCCCAGACAATTCCAGCAAAGGGAAGAGAGGTGGAGCTGAGGGTGGGGCTGTAAGGCTGGGATCAACTGACGACACCCGGTCGAACTAGCTACAAGCTAACCTGAAGCTAACCCAAAGCTAATGCAGAGGTGGGAGCTATGCTAACGGAGGTAGCAACCTAGCTACAACCGGAGTTAATTGTGCACAACACCAGAGCTTCTGAGTCAGAGATACGCCGGGTTGACTGCTGGGTAAAACCGGGTGGAGCACAGAGGTCTCCGAGACCTCCACAAGCCGGCAGCCGCACAGCAGACAAGCGCCGCTGCGATCTGAGATGCGC